AAAAAAGCAAGGGTTTCGAAACCCTTATTTTTGGGTTATGATGGACCCAAAACGACGCCGTTTAAAGGGGTCATGGTTTCCGTGTTTTCATATTAAGGGGTAAACCACGCTTTTGGTCCCTGATCCTTTGTAACCGCACGATTTAGCCATGGAATGAAGTTTACATTATTTCAATTTGAGCCTTTATCTTTTCACTTTTACATTTTAGTCACTATTCTAGGTATTATAACATTTTTGTTTATATTTGGTTCTGGTTTAAGTATTTATAAATGTTACATCTTAGCCACTGATTTAATATTTCATGTATGTTTCTTTGATATTCGAATCTGGCCATCACATTTATAAATATTTTATTTAAGTCCTATTAATGTATGTTATGTCATTTTTGTGGATATTTGACTTTGGTCCCAATGTTTGTAATAGTTTCATTTTAGTCACTAATTTCGTGTGTTGTGTATTTTTGTGAATGTTCGAATTTGGACAGGATATTTATGTTTCTTACATTTTAGTCACTGATCTTGTGTTATGTTTTATGTTCGAATTTGGAAGCAATATTTGTAAATCAATCATTTTAGTCACTGGTAGCTTGTGTTGTGTATTTTTGTTGACATTTGAATCTGGTCATTTCATTTGTAAATATTTTATTTTTAGTCACTGATTTAATGTGTTATCATGTACTGTTAATATTAGAATCTAGTCATGGTATTTGTAAAGATATTATTATGGTCACTGTTTTACATTTGGTTTATTTATGATTCGGCCTTCATGTTTGTGTTTATTTCATTTAAGTCCTTTTTTTGTTATTTTATCTTTGGGTAAGTTTCTGCTAGTATCATAGTATTTTATTTTCTTATATTTCAGTCCTTAATTGAAATGTTGGGTATTTTACTTCGAACTTTAACTTTCATCATTCTTATATTTTAGTCATTTTACACTGTTAATTGTTTTTAGTTAAATGTTTGATTTCACTTATTAATTTGTGATGTGTTTATTTTATTCCTTGCAGTTAGTTTTACTTTTTCATACTTTGATTTGCCATGTTTGATGTTTGTTCATTTAGGCCTTAATATTAAATTATAATGTGTATGCTTGCTTGGTAAATATATTTATATTAGCGCATAGATCATGTTTACATCGATTAAATTATTTATTTATTTATTTATGTTTTCCATATATATAAATTGTATGTGCAATGTGATTTATTTACTTTATTTTTCCTATTAAATTTCTAATTTGCAAATTGAATGATATTCGGGATTTATATATTTTTTTTATGTATATAAGTGTTATGTTAAGTGTATTTATGTGTATTTCGTGTGGAGCCCACCTTTGTGCCTTATATACATATATTGGCTTTTCTTCCATGATTTATATTCATATTAATTTATTTTGTGTCAGCACTTTATGTATCTCTCGTATTTGGTTAAACATTTCATAATTAATTCGAATAATTTTGAGAACACAAATTTGTAGAACGTGCATGGAAAGTATCGCTTGATCGAAGTGGTACAATCCGATATGACATTCGAACAAATGTGAACTTGAAATTAATTTGATTTTATTTTGTTAATCCATTTCATTTTAAATCGAACATTGCAATGAATGTCTCTAAATAATAATTTATTTCATTTCATGTAAGTTATTAATTTTCATTCTACGATGTATATTCGATCTTTTTTTATCAATTTATTTCATTGAATGCGAGTGCAAATAGTCGATTTTCATTTTTAGTCGATTCATATATTTATTAACGAGGGAATATTCTTTTATTGATAAGAAATAGTCGAGTTAGCTTTCTCGATGGAGGATTGCTAATTTCGAGATTTCTTTTCGAATTAAGGAATTTTCTCTAATTAATTGATTCGAAGCAAATTAATTAATGTTCAATAAACGGATCATATTTTAACTTTATATTCGATTTGTAATTTCCACCATTTTACGACAACATGTAAGCGACACAGTACCAGTTTTTGGGCGTTGTGGGGTGCTAATCCTTCCCCACGCGTAACCGACTCCCGAACCCATCAAATCGAACATTTGGTAAACGCAGACCATTTTTGTCTTTAAAAATGATTTTTTTAAATTGTTTTAAAATACGTTTTAGGTATTCGACCTACCTAACCCAAAGGTCGATGGCGACTCTTTTCAATTTAATTCAAATCAACTCAAAATCACCCAATCTTTCCAAATTAAAGTCGTAATCGTTTTTTTATATATTTAATTGTTTTTTAAAAAAAATGGTTATGACACCCATTATCTAGTGGATCTTTTGATTATTTCGAACCATTGCCAATACTTTGAAATCAAGTTCGTAATTTCTCTCTTGACCTTTGAATGCATGCACGTTGTGTGCAATCAGTAGATTTTAATTCTTGGAGTGATGTGAACATTAGCAATGCAATGAGTTTAGGCTCGAAAGAGAATCCGGTCATGTTTAGGGATGGTTTTTATACTATTCTAGTCGTACATGTTTCTACTCATTGTCAAATGCAGTAATGTAAAAAAGAAAAGAAACTTTTTTATATTTTCTTCCTGCATCATTGGACCAATTTGTCGATAAAAAATATTTTAGGGGTTCTTAGCTGCCGAAACTTTTTTAATTTATATGTGCAACACTGCTCAGGATTTTGTGCATATTATGATTTTTCCTTATTATTTTACAAAATCTATAGTTTGTAATATTTGTCCCCTTTTTTCTTGAAATTCTTCCTATGGAATCTGTCAGGTGGTTGCGCTGACAGTTGTATCTATCGGTGTTGCGATTGCCACGGTGACTGATCTACAGTTCAGCCTCTTTGGAGCATGTGTAGCAATGGCATGGATTATTCCTAGTGCTACCAATAAAATCCTCTGGTCCAACTTGCGGTAACAAGAGAATTGGACGGCATTGTCGTATGTTTCAAGCTCCTTCAAGCACACTTTCGATTTGTTCGACACTTCTTGATGCAAAGGATAAGTTAGCCCAAGGAAGTCAGGAGTATAGATTCCAAAAATCGGTTCTCTATCGAAAATGGCCTCATTGTGTTTCCCTTGGGCTTTTCTTTTCCTTTATATTCTTTTGATGTCCGAAAAAGTTTTTCTTTTTATGTTTATTCTTGTTGCTTAAAACTTTTCAATTCTGTGCATGTTGAAGTTATGAATTTGTTGTTGAACAGGTTAATGTGGAAAACAACACCAATCACTCTGCTTTTTCTGGTTTCTATGATTCCTTTCCTCAATCCCCCGGGTGTGCTCGCCTTCCATTGGAGCTTCCACAATACATCGGCTATCCTCTTATCAGCTTTTCTTAGCTTCTTGCTTCAGTGGTCGGGAGCTTTGGCACTCGGGTAAATCAATCTTCGCATTTATTATAATTGTCGAAACATCCTAGTTTATGCTTGTCCTGCATGACCAATATGGTACATCTCTTGATACATATTCCATCAACAATCAGCGCGACGTCCGCTATTTCCCACGTTGTTCTCGGACAATTCAAAACCTGCGTACTGCTTCTCGGCAGCTATTACCTCTTCGAATCGAATCCGGGCACGACCAGTATTTGTGGAGCATTTGTAGCTATCGGAGGTATGTCCTTTTTCACGTACCTCAGTCTAAATGCTAAGAAGCAACCGGCGCCTCTGAAAGTTTCCCCTCTTTGCCCAAGTCCAAGTTAAGGTAACAGTGAGAATCACCATGGATTCGGCGATGATAGTGTTTAATCGAAACGATTCTACGCAGATACTACTGGTTGACACGAGATGCTACGCAGATAAACTCTGATAATACCAAACTCAAACAACTTACTATATATCTCATCTCATTTATGTCACTGTGTACTGTTGTGAAAGTGACTATAGCACGTGTTTGTTGACAGCAGCTGAGCAGCACATGATCTCTATCCTATCACAAAATACAGATAAATAAAATTCAATTTCTTGTCGACACGTGGGTTGTTCCGTCGAATATTTTTAGATAATGTATTAAAAGGAATTAATGGATTCGCATAATCTGTGTCCTATCATAAAGCACGTTCATTTGCAGCGTGATAATCCAAGTCCTAAGCTAAAATCGAATATACCTTGAGAAGATAATATTGATGATTGAGCCTTCAACAAATAACACTGCTAAAATTTATTTCAATGAGTCGGAAGATCTCTAAACAAAAATATAATAATGAAAATTAAAATATACAAATAATAAAAAAAATTGTTAATATATATGAATATTCAACACTTAATAATCATCAAATATAACATGAATTAAGCGGCTTTGATGGTAAAAAAAATATTTTTATTCTTTAATTTCTCAGATTCGACCGCTCTGAATGTCAAGAGTGTGAGAATAACATCAATTTTTTTACTACCAAAATAATTTAATTCATTTATGTTTTTGATTCACCTCTAACTCAAAAAACCTAATATGTATAAATTTTACAATCGACGCATGCACAGTGAGTCGAGTGAGTCGAGTCGGAACTCGGAAGGCATAATTTATAAATTATTAATGAAAAAACAATCAACCAACCAAATAATAATATATTTATAATCACAATCTATTAAATAATAATATATTAAACAAACCAAGATTTGAAAACCCTACACGTGGATTTAATATTATCATTTTAATAAATTATTAATGAAAAAACAACCAAGATTGCTTCATATTTTATTTTTCGTAAAAAAAACATTATTAATAAACAAAGCTACTGTATATATTGTTATTTGTTAATGTATAATTTTATATTATATTAATCAATAAGATATCAATTCAATTAATATACTATCGTTTTAATATTAAAAAAATATGATTTCGAGTATGTTCATACGAATAATATTATTACAAAATCAATAATTTAAACATAGCTGTCGGATACGAAATAAAATATTTTAAATAAAATTATAACACAATAAAATACACAAATTAAAACAGAATATGCCATGACCACTGCTACCATTCTCCCAGCTCTATAAATACTCCTCTCCTCAACTTTCTTCTTCTTCTCATACATAGTTTATTTCAGTCTTTGTTTATGTTTTCTGCAGTCTCCGTTGACATAAGATTCCACCCACGTTTTCCAGCTTTAATTCAAAGTAAAAAAGAATATTCTGAATCTAAATCCCAGTTTTAGTAGATCAAAAGAGAAGAAAACCCCCCCATCAAAGTGCAAAGGAAAGAAAAGAAATTTAACCCAGAAAAAAAATGTGTTTCGAGTTGTTGTGTGGTAAACAAGAGAGAGAGTTGGGGCGGATGCAAGCGCCCGGGTTTTGCCCGCACTGCGGCGGCAAAGTGGAGGCTGTCGACGTCGAGAGCAAATGGAGGTTATGTTTCTTGCTCGTTTGCTTCAAGATCAAGAGAAAATATTATTGCATTCAGTGTGCCAAGCGTTTGGTGTTGTATTTCTAGCTAATTCGATCTAGAGTTTGCTCTTCTTCTTCTTCTTTTTGTTTTTGGATGTAGATAATTTGATTCTTGCATGTTTTTGGAAACCTTTTCTGTTTGATCCTCGTAATAATTGTAAATGCTTTTCTCCCCTGCATAAATGAACATTTTTCTTTCGTTCTTTTGGTCTTCAAAGCTTTTCCATATGGCGAAAGAGAGAACATCCAGATCTTAGATCGCATTATTTCCAGAATATAATATATACAGATTTATAGTTTGAAACACAAACGATTCTAGTTCTCTGGGTTTAGCTTGATATGTAATGTAGTGCCAGCATTTCTTCAAATATTATTGCAATGTTCATTAAAATGCTTTATTTATCTCTTGAAGAAAGGGAGCATGAGGTTATTTTCGTTCTAAGATGTCTTTGGCATCAATTATGACAGTAAGTGGACGAATTAAATTACTTTAGTAGTTAAAGGGATTAATGGTTTTAGGATTCGAGTATATTGTATATTAGGGGTGATTGAACATTCATTATCAAATCGGTTGAGAGTCTTTCGAACATATATTATCATATAATCATCATTTTTTTTGGATAATTAATCATTATTAGATTTATATATAAAAAAACATGATAATAAGTAGAAACAAAAATTTAATGAAATTAATTGATGGTTACAACATAAACTACTTTTCTTTTAATTGTCGAGTAGGATTCGTTTGAATAGACGTTGAAATCATAAATAAATTATTTTTTTTATAATTACTTGTATATTTATTAGTCTTTCGTGATTATAATATAATATTTGTCTGAAAGATTCTTAATCTTTTGATAATAAACGTTTAAATATCCCTACATATAAATTGCTCGAACCCAAAATCTCTAAAGATAACAACTATCCTTTAATTTTAATCTTCGATCAGGGATCCCATTTCGGATTATGTATTCAAATTGTTTGACTGAATTGCTCGTGTGAGGTTGTGAAAAAAGTTATTGGCTGAATTAGAGCCTCACCGGAATTTTTTTCGGTCTACTGTGAATGTTACAATACTTGTCGGAAGTCGTCGGGAACACATGACGTTTCTCAGAAGATGCGACGACTACCGTGCAACTTCAGCTTTGTTCTTTTGAGAGTGTTGGCAGTTTTGAGGTTTCAACAGCGTGAAAAATAGAAAATACTGCATTGTATTTTCGGCGTCCCAAATATTATAGCGACCACACTATCTCGATAAATAATTTCCACTATACCCTAATTCAGTCAATAACTTTTTTCACAATCTCACACAAACAAATCAGTCAATTTTTTTTGGCATTCGAAACAAAATGGATATTCATCTTCAAATATCCATATTTAAATTCACATTACTTATGAGGATTATGGATATGTAAATTCGAATTCGACCTCAACTTCGACTCCGACTTCATATTAAAAAAATATAAATAATATTTACTTTCAAGGAGATTTAAATTTGGTCATCCAACTTTTAACCGATTCAGAACTGTGCGGATATAAATATTGACGCATATGATTCTAAAATTAGAATTCTTATTTTTTTTCTTCGAAATTATGACGAATAGTAATATTTAATTCAAATTTTTGAATTAATATTTTTTCTATTGATCTATTCAAATTTAAATAGTAATGATCAGTTAATTTAACAATGCACCTGGTTTTAATAAGAAAGGGTAAATAACATTTCAAGTTGTTCAGATTTTAATCTTTTCAGCTTAGTCACTAGAAAAGTTTATTTGATCTTAAATTAATTTTTTTAATTTTTTAATTTTTTTAATTTTTATTATATATATTATTACCAATAATAATATTTTATTTAAATATAATATAAATTAAAAATAAAATAACGACACAATAATTTTATCACATTTAATTATAACTTATTTGCCATATTTAAAATTTAATTTTTTTATTATGAATTAAACGCAAGGACAAACCCATGATTTTAAGTTAGCGAGAGAACTTCTAAAATTTTAGGAGAAAGCGAACTTATAAAATTCTGGATAACGAAAATAGATTATCAATTGAAAATACAAATAAAATAACTAAAATATATGTTAAATTAAAATTTCCAGAAGGCGAATGTCCTCACCTACCCTCCTTCGATCCATCTCTGTTTAAATGGTAATCATAATAGTTTTTAGTATTATATTTTTTAATTTGACATTTTAGCCATTTAATTTATTCATATGGTAAAGTATACAAATGGTCCCTCAACTATATGGTTTTGCTTTATTGAGTCATTCGATTATTAAAAGTTATGAAATGGTCCCTTGATTATAGGGTATTACTTTGTTGAGTCCCCCGACTATTAAAAGTTGCAAAATGGTCACCCGACTATTCATATATTCCAAACTCATCATTTTGTTAAAAAATGAAGGTAATTTGAGCTAAATGTTAACCTATTGATTGTGATATGATAAAATATGATCTCAAAATCTTAAATGACTATCATATATCAATCAACAAGTTAACGTTCAACTCAAAATGTCATTAAATTTTTAACGAAAAAGGACGAATTTGGAGCATATGAATAGTCGGGTTACCATTTTATAACTTTTGATAGTCGATGGACTCAACAAAGTAACGTCCTATAGTTGGGGGACTATTTTGTAACTTTTAATAGTCATGAGACTCAATAAAACAACACCCTATAGTTGGGGGACCATTTGTATTCTTTACCCTTTTTCATGATACATTATACACTTATATAATTTAAAACAAAAAATTTAAAAATATATAATAATTAAATTAAAAATATAAAAATTAAATTCGTAACTTACCTATGAAATTTAACCTTTTCCTTTCGTCCAACGGCTTGAGTGATGACGGACGGTGGTCCAAGTGCATGAGTCACGCTATTATGGATTTCGTGCAGAGAAAAAGTGTAAAATGCCCTATTAATGAAAGTAGCTGCAACAGCAACAGCTTTTGGCAGAAAAGAATGTGCAATTACTTGCCATTCAAGGCAAAATCGTCGTTGGACCCCGTCTTTATTTCATTCAAGATGCGCTGGCATGCCCATCCCGCATTCGGTAGAGGCCTTTGTTTGTCGCTTAACTATGTCTTGGCCTCTTGGGTCCAATACATCAATGATCTCTCCATATAAAACAATATTTTATTAAAATATATAAACCGATCTTTTGATTATAAGATGTTATTTTGTTAAACATTATATTTTATAATTTTTAATAATAGAAAAATTCAAAAAAATAACATCTTGTTATCGAGAAACCATTTGTATATTTTATCATTTTTATATAAATTTTAAATTTAATTATAATATTACCTAATTCAGAGTAGAAGAGAGATTCTAGGAGAAAGAAATAGAATATTCATATTAGGTGTAGAATTCATGATCCAATAGAATATGAGAGAACGAACAACTAAATCAACCAACAAAAATATATTTTCCTTTTAGTTTTTATTTTATAGCTAGAAAAACATTCCCCAACCCTACTATATAGTATGTAATTAATAATGCATGCTTTTTTCTTTTTCTTTTTTTTAAAAATAAATTTTAAATTTCAAAACTCTGAAACATGAAAATTTTTGAATATGTGTTGAAACGAAGTTTCTCTCAATTTCAAAATTAAGAAATTGATTATTCTTAAAAGAGTAATTTAATTCATACTTATTTAAATAATAAATAATTAGAGACAATTAATTACATTGTTGTTTTTTTTGTCAAATTTATATAATTTGAATTGATATGATAATTTTAGCCTTTAATATTTATCATTATGTAAATTTATCATAATTTTTTAAAAAATCAATAAATATTATATGTTCGTGATTTGGAGTCTACGTTCTAAATATCTACGAGTTTGAAAATAAAGGAGAAGATCGTCAGATTAGAAGTGCAATACTTGAAAAAAAAAATCAAGTATTTGTATATTTTTACGTCCAATGTTACGATGAATATTGAGGTTTACGCAAGTCATAATTTTGGAGATATTTAGATATTTTTTAGTTTAACCATAAGTATTTGATATATAGATCAACTATTTCGAATAAAATTATACAGAAACCTATTACAGAGACAAATTCTTAATTTAATTTACTCAATTCACAAATGATAGGATTCTAACTCCCTAATCTTGCTTGAATGATTTAGTGTATCATTCCTTTAGATTCCTGAAACAAGGTAAAGAGTTAAAATCCTGATGTTTACGAATAGAGTAAATTAGGTTAGAAAAGTCATTCTCGCAATGAGTTTTTGTAAAACTGATCCGAAATAATCTATTAATAGATTAAATACCGATAATTAACTTAAAAAAATTCCAAATACCTCCTAAATTAAGACTTGCATTAACCTCAGTAATCCTCACAGCAACGAACATGAAAAATATACAAATACTTGATTAAAACAAATTTATTGTACTGAATATCACAACTGATATAATTAAATGACGCGAAGCTGTTAGAATAAGCCTTGTAGTTAGGGATGGGCATGGACCCGAACCCTACTGACTCGACCCAACCTGATTAGTTTGGGTTTTTTAATAAAAAAATTCGGGTTCAAGTTCGGGTCGGATTCTAGTTTAAGGTGAAAAATATTCGATCCGATCCGATCTTAAAAAATATATAATTATACCTTATATATTTAGGAATAATTATAATAATATTCATCTATATATTATTATTTTTAATTAAATCACTATTTTTATTGAATAAAAATAATATTTTTATTATTATTTTGGGTCGGGTCAGATCGGATTTGGATTTTATTACAAAAAATTGGATCAGATTCGAGTATATATTTTTTGAGTCGGATCAAATCTGATAAAAAACATAAAATTTTTAGATCAAATCGGTTGACCCAAACCCGACCGATGCCCATCCTTACTGTAAATTCTCATGCTAAGCTCATAAAGCTCATAACATAACAATTTCGAAGGAGGTGAAAAAAAATGCAAGTAATGCGTATCGAAGGAAACGGGTTTTTTCTAAACAGTATTTGGGCTACATAGTCCATACCAAGCGGTCCAAGAAAATAATATAACGCAAACAATATTTATTTCTGAATAAAATGAAAAATGTCATTAAAAAAAACCCAAATAAACTAAATTCTTGAAGCAAAACCCTAGCTACTTGCCATAGTTGAGACAAAGGAGAAGAGGAGGAGAGGTTTATATACTACTTTAAGATACATGCAGGCAGTAAAGCCTTCCCCTTCGCTCATTGCTTTGAAGCCTCGCCAAGTTGTTCTTTCTTCGAACCCAACCATGAAAACCCAGGCTTCTGCTCCCTCATTGACCCCCCACCAAAACTCTCTTCTCCTCCTCTCCGTTGCCCACTTTCTGCAACGCAAGTCCTTCTCCAAAACCCTCAAGAAGTTTCACTCCGAAGCCCAAATCCAGGTTTTTTTTATTGTTTAAATTTTGGTTTTCTCTGTGCATTCGAATTTGACTGTTGTTTGGTTTGTTGGGTAGAGCCAATGTCTTCAGTGATTATATTTGTTATGTTTATCCGTATTGAGAAATGGCCTTAAAGTCAGCTATTATGTGCTTATGACCATCATGGATGGCGTTTCATGCTGTATAAGCTGCTCAAAATAGTTTATGTAGGATAAATGTGGACTGTAGTATGGTCTTTGGCTTTATTGTATACCAGGAAAGTTATTTGATTACTGAATTTCATTAGAAGTAGCACTTGGGGCCACCGAAAGCAGCATGTCCATTCCACCTCCCAATTATTGAGAAAAAAATTAGAACCATTGTGTAATACTTGTTCTTACTGAACGATAATGTCCCAGACAGAAGCCAATAGTTAACAGTTATTTTTTGAGTTTGTCCTAATTATGTCAACATCAGTAGGTGGATCACTTGTTTCTCGGACCATATTGATATTTTTCTCTGTAAGTTTGGAGGTCATGAATAATATATATTTCTCAGTGTCTCTGTGTGTGTGTGGATGCAGTATTTTGTGTTCTTGAAGCATACATTGTTTTCTCCCTCAAGCTGAGAAGGTTGTTTCCGCCATACTGTAATTTCCCCTTCTTTTTCTGGCTTCTTACTGGTTGGGCGTGTATGTTTGTGCTTGTCACTTGATTGCATTACGAGGCTTTATTCATTCTTCCTTGTGAAATTTTTGTTCACTGCCTTGACACCCGTATATTAATTTTCTTTTACTTGGATTTTTGCAGAAAAATGATTTGACAGGGTCTTCCCTGGATTTGGAAGAAATGTGCTGCAAGTATCTGTCTATAAGGTAGGATGAGAAATTTGTTTTACTCCTGATTGTTTGAACTTTCGTTATGTGGGATAATCTATTTCTCCACGTATATTGTGTAATGAAGGATTACGGACTGGCTATTGTTGGCTTGTTGCATGTTGAATTACCTTTTCCTTGCACTGCTTTTATGATTTAACATTAACCTTATGGATGAAGTTGCATGTAGAATGCTTATATGTGAATGTAAAGTTATGTGCCTGAGACCAGAAGAGTGCATATTGGACTTTTATTATTTCTCATTTGTTTCTTTCTTTTCCTCTGTTTTTAGTTCTCACTTTATTGAGCTTTTGCATTATGCAGTGACCCTTACAGCTCAAATTTAAACAAAGAGCAGCTCAATGGTTTGTTAAACATAATAATGTTCTATTGGATGATGACATTATTGATATATTTTGGTGTTGATTCTGATGCTCAAAATGTGGAATTGCAGATATGCAGGGGGATGGTAATCCTAATAGTGATGGACAAGTTGACATTGCTTCTACCCTTACCAAGAAAAAGAAGAAAAGAGGCAATGAGAGTAATGTGGACAATATAGGTCAATCTGAAGTTGATGATAAATCTGCCAATTCTAAGAAAATTGAGGAGCAAGTTTCCAAAGAAGCGTTGAAGGAATCTGCTATTGACAGTGCGAGTGGGTTGCAGTCGAATGAGCGTGCTAAGAAAGAGAAGGAGAAAAAGAAGAAGAAAATCAAATTGGATGAATCTCATGTTGATAGTGTGGAATATAATGGAGGGACTGATGCTGGGATAGAGGGTAAAAGTAAGGATAAGAAGAAAAAGAAAAACAAGCTGACTTCTGATTCATTAGTTGAAGGTGCTGCACATGTTTCAGAGGACACGCAAAATGCTGCTACCACTACAAATGCTAATGACATACCATTGGAAGATAAGACTTCCAAATCTAAGAAAAAGAAAAAGAAGGATGATTCTGAAGATGTAGAGAAAGGAAAATCCAAAGATGATGAAAACAGGATCTCGAAGGTGGATTCAACAGTCACAGATGATAAAATTTCCAAGAAAAGGAAAAGATTGGATTCCGAAGTACATGACACTCAACCTGTTAATGAAAATGCTATTGAAGACTCTAAACGTAGGAAGATGGAAACTACAGAAGAACAATTAAATTCATTGGTGGATGGGAACATTGAGAAAAACAGAAAGCATTCTGAGCAAAAGAGCTCGAAGAAGCAGCAAAATGGCTCAGCTCAAGTAAGTTCATGAATGTCTTTGTATTTTGTTGTATATTTTAATAAGCAAACGATGTATTGAAGCCCAATTCTGACCTCAATTTTCTTGTTTTCTTTCCTTGATTTAAAATAATGCATGTGTCATGGACTTTCCTCTGTCATGTTGAACCCAGAGTTTACGTGTTGCACATGCAATTGTTGGAATGATCATTTAAAAAAAATAATACAAGCACCCATTAGTCGTGTTTATTAAACACCTGCCCTTGAAGTCAAATTGGTAATCCAAAAGACTGTAATTAAACCTTGCTTTCTTTTGGCTTGAAATACTTTGCTTATTGTGTTTGTTACTAAGTTGGCAATTTGAATCTGACTATTTGTGTCATGTTTGAATTTTACACACTAAATCTGGCCTCTTTTAAAATATGTTTCACATGCTGAATATATTAATTTATCTAGCTGAAGCTTCAATAAATTTGAAGGAATATGCTCCAATCAGGTGTTTCCCGTTGTCTTTTTTCCTTCCTGCTGCATGAATTTTAGTGTTGGATTGTTGGATTTTTTGGGTTAATTTGAAGTTGGACTTTAGAGTTTTTTATGTTTATGTTATTTATTTTCTTCCTTAACCTTATAGCATCTGTAGATGTGCGTTGTTCTCTAACCCCCGATTTGACTGTTGTTTTCTGATGAATGGCGTTTAGAATTGAGGGAGAATCGATTTTCGGGTTTTTGAATGACTCTTATTAAGGAAGTAGTTTTCTTCAAGGATGTTAAGCAATAAAGATAATAATTGTAAAATCAATTAATATTTGGTTGATAAGAGTTCCAATATTCAGCTTTGTATTATTGCAGCCAAAGAAACCATTTCAAAGAGTGAATGTTGAGGAGGTAGTATTCGTTGATAGCAGGCTTGAAGATAATTCATACTGGGCAAAGGTATAAACTACTTGCCCCACTCCTTGTTTTCCATTAGCTTATTTTTGTATTGAAGTTATTAAAGGAAAGGAAAGGAAAAGAGAGGTTCTTAAAGGAAAAGAAAGAAGAGGAAATGATATGTTATTCCTTTGTTGGATAGCTAAAGTAAGAGAAAAGAAACATGACATGTATTCGGTTAAATAGTGGGACTTCTGGGAAAAAGGTAGGGATACCTAGTCCCTCATCCTTTATTTTAATCTAGACGATAATTAAAGGAAGTACTAGTTTTCATACATACCCTGTTTTTCTTCCATTTCCCGCACATTAGGTTAATCCAAAAATATGCTCCATTTATTTTGTTATTATATGAGGCATTTTGGTCACTTGCACAATCCTTGCAGGATGGTGCTGAAACTGGATATGGTGCAAAAGCACAGGAAGTTCTAGGCCAAGTAAAAGGAAGGTATGTGTAAATGTCTTAGATGTATGTATCTTTGGTACCAAAATCACTTAATCGGGGACTTACTGAACCGTGTTATGATTCTATCATTCATAAGCATATGTAACACATAAATAGCATGGTTCAATATGTTCACTTAATTTGTTGATGTCACTATATTGTGATTCATTCTGTCAGTGTTTTAAACTTCTACCAGAATGTCTGTTTTACTGTTCTTTGGGTGGTTTTTGTAAATGCTCAAGCATGATGGTGTCTAAAAACATGCTTCTGATTGTCAAACACAGGGGTTTCCGGCATGAGAAGACCAAGAAGAAGCGTGGATCGTACAGGGGAGGACAGATCGATTTCAATTCGCACTCGGTAAAATTCAATTATTCGGATGATGAGTAATACTGATGGGGCCTGCAATACATTTTTATCCTTTTCCTGCAATTGAGGAAATAGTGAAATATATTTTAAGTGGAACTCAATGGTAATGCTTGTGTTCGTCTATCTAGTATCCGCTGCTGTTTTGTTAGGGTCAGTAGTTTCAGTGATCTCTAGTTAATTGAATCATATACATTTTTACGTTTTGTTGTTTGTCTCCTTTAAAACACTTGACATTTGCTTCTCTCAACACTATTAGCAAGTGTCATACTTAAAACTATCATTTCATTTCTTATAATATTATTATGGTATTTGGGTCAACATTTTTGTAAGTTTTAAATCAATCGATGAAAATTTATCCAAGTAAAAGTAACACAATCGATATTTTACTATCACACAAAATGATAGTTTAACATATTTGATACTTTATCGAAGTAAAAGTAACACAATAGATATATTAAAAGTTCATATATCACATTGGATATTTTGTTACTTATATTATTAATTAGGTGTCGGAATTATAGTAGGCTTGACGGCGATCTTCGCCATCTGATAAAATCTTACGCTGCGGAATAACAAAGAAGAACATTCATTCGAGGCTTTAGTCCTAAGTAGCTACTATAAGAATGTCTCACTTCTTGTACTTCAAGCTTACATTAGCGAGCCCGGTGCAGAATGCATTCAGGACGACGATCATTGCCCAATTCACTACATAATGAATAAAGCTGAGGAGTAAAAGAAACTGGAAGCTGGCATTCTTCAGCACCTGCAGGAAGATCGAAGCAAGCTCCGGCATTAGACGTTGGATTGTTCTGTGTATATATTGAAGTGGTTGAGAGTTAGAAGAGCTAGAATACCAACCCATTTGTTCATGAAAATGATGGCAGTAGCAATGAAGAAATTGGTCGTTAGAGCAGTGCTCGGAGTGCAAAGGCGTTGCTGCATACGTGGTGTTTGAATTTAATATCTCGAAGAATAATGTTGTAATAATATTATATTAAGAAAAATAGTATTATTATAACCTTTAAGAAAAATAATATTGATTAATATTCTAGTAGTGAACAATTCTATTAATCTATTTTACTTATTTAATATGAACTAAATATATTTCAGGAGCTATCTTTTGAAATAAAAAATATGAAACAAACTCTGTTATTACCATCTTGATTCAAACAGATCATCAAACCCTAGAGAAGCATATTGATTAGAATACAGATCGGGAAAAGGGACTAAAAACCAGAGGGAATACGAGTCAAAAAATCAGAATGGCTCCAAAACAAGAATCCCAATCCGTCGGCGCCGTCGCCGATGCCTCCGCTCCAGTGTCAATGGACCCATTTCTCCACATCCTGAAACTCGTCCCCTACTCTTTCCTCCACGCCTCCGCCTCAGGCTCCCCTCCTTCTCCCTCCCTTCGGCCATGCCCGTCTTCTCTCTCATCCTCCTCACTTACTTCATGGTGGTCTCGGGCTTCATCTATGATGTCATAGTGGAGCCCCCGGCATTGGCTCTACCCAAGACCCCGCCACCGGCGCCGTCCGACCTGTCGTCTTCCTTCTGGGCCGAGTCAACGGTCAGTACATCATCGAAGGACTCTCCTCCGGGTTTATGTTTGTGGTTGGTGGCATTGGGATCGTGCTCTTCGATCTTGCCCTTGATAAAAACAGGGCTAGGAGTATCAAGGTTTCATACTCCATCACGGGGATCTCCTCCATTGTTATTGCTTATGTGATGACTACGCTCTTTATTCGCATCAAGATCCCTGGTTATCTCAGGTGAAAATATTACTTTATTAGCTATTACTTTATTAGGAGTATCTTTCTCGTGTTAGTATGAAATGAGTAAAAGTATGATTGATTTAATAAGAAGTTATGGATCTCCTCCATTTATAGGCTTATATCTAGTTGAATTGCTACCATAGTTGCGTAGAGAGCTCCTATGTTCACAGGATGCTCATTGCATCCAAAGAGGACAATATCGATTTAAAGGAGATGCTTCATGCTGAGGCAGTATCCCATTCCAGTCATTTGGAATGGCTCGTGATGATATTACTTGCCAACTGAGCTTGATATAGGAACTAAACAAAGCACCATAAATAGTACCTTTATTGAAACTCGGTGTCTACGTTGTCTTAGCCAATGTCGCTCATTCTCTTTGTTGAGTGAGTTTACTTATGAATCGCCATTATTCTTGTTAAGCTATTCGTGGGGGAACCCTTGTGAATGTTACGTGTGCATTATGGTAGTGCAATTGTTTTACTGGTTCAGTTTTGTGGACAATGTTGGATTGCCTGTCATGGTTTCCAAGTGTTTGTTTTTGGAGGAAAGGATGTTATTGCCAGGACTCAAAGCTTGGATCTTTGATGTTGTTTGGCTTTTGTTACTTCTCTTTAATATTGTTTTAATAAGGAGTTATAGGTATCATATCAAAATGTTAAGAGGACCTAATCAATTAAGTCCCCTGCCACATCATCATCTGTAGTAGGTTGTCGTATCAACACTGCAAACCGCGATATTAACATTGTAATGTTTAGTGTCGTTTTCCATTGGTCAAAGGACCAGATTAAAATTTTATCAATTTAAGGATCATATTGGGTACCAAAATTTAGGGCCACATTAATTCTTTTCTTCAAAAGTTGAAGCTTTAAATGTATATTTTATTGTCATGTTTTAGTTTAAATATTTTTAATTCTTGTGTTTTCTTTTTAAATAAAATTTTAGTTTTAACTCAAACAGTTAATGTTTATGTCCATTGGGCTATAATTTCTTATTAGCTCTTGTATTAATTTTACTGTTAAATTTTAAAGAAAATTATAGATGATGCACCTAAATTATTCTTTTAATTTTAAAACGTTTTATATTAATTATTAAGTTGTTATTATCATTTAATTTAATATTTTCTTAATATATTTAACTCTAGTGATTGAAAAAAAAATAATCTATCTTTGAAGCTAGTAAGAATGGAATCAATAATCTTCTAAAAATTCTCATTATCTTTAAAAATAGATTAAAATTTTTAAAATGTCACAGGATTAATTTTCATGACCTTTTAAATCTGATAGAATTAATATCACGTTAATAGAAAAATTAAAATAAAGTGGCATTAATAAATTAAAGATAAATATAAAATATTTTTAAAGTGTAGATACTAATTTTGAATGACATCATAGGTTGGTGATTAATAAATAATTTTTTAATATTTAGGGACTAGTTTAGAATGAGTGTCATAATTTAGTGACAATTCATGCAATTAACTCTTTGCTAATTACTTGAAAAATAAATTGATTGGGTTTAGTTTGATTGACATTATTACTAATATAATATATAAAAGGACGTGAGATCGAACATATTTAAATATTCAATATATTTTATGTTATTAAAAAATGAATTTAAATATGAAAATTAAATCAAATTATTAAAAAAAATTACTTAAAAATCAAAGAAACTTTGACTTTAAATTATATTATTATATAATATTGAAAAAATAAATAAATGAGAATTTGGATCAAGTCTAAGGAATGAATAACAACAGTAATGAGGAAGGAAAACAGGATTTGCTGGAAGCCGAAGATAAAACAGAACGGAAGTCAAGGGCAAAGGGGTTGACTTTTTTAAAGTAAGAGCGACGGCCACGCAACCGCAACGCCATGAACAATTAATTTTAGGGTAAACTATATTCTAACTCACTCAACTATTAATTTAGTTACAAACCTGTCACATTTAAATTACAAACGAATCATTTCATTGTTAAAATTGAAATAAAATTCTAATGTTGTCTAGTATAGTAATAATTTCAGTTTATAAAAATTATTTATTTTATTAGCTCGGTTATAATTTGAAACAATTAAATAAATTTAACTCTTTACATTTAAAAATTTTATCAATTTAGCCATTTTTTTATGATATTGTCAAATCAACTGAGTTCGTCGGATCAAACAACAATTGAATAAATGTATTCTACCATCAATCAACAAGAAGTTTCCGGTGTTATAATTTATTAGATTTTTTCGAATTATGAAAAAATTGATATAATTTTTAAATGATATAATTTTAAATATGAAAGGTTAAATTTATTAGATTTTTTCGAATTATAACAAAATTGATAGAGTATGTAAATTTTTAAGACTAGTATTGTTATTATATCAGGCCACGTTGGACTCTCCTTTCAGTTTTTAAAATAAAAGTGACATATTTTTAATGATATTTTAATTGAGTAATTAAATTAAATTTTTTATTAAAAAATGATATATTAATAATCGATCTAATAATTGAGTGACTTGGGATATAGTTTTCCCTTAGTTTTACCCTAAACGTCATCTCCTTCAAATTTTATACTCCGTACCATCCCTTTGTACGGTTATACATTCTATATATATATATATATATATAGTCACAATCGACAACAAAAACAAGTACTCATTTGCTCTAATCCAAAGCCCCAAACACTTTCTTAAATTTTCCTTTGTTTTGATTTCATTCCTCTGGTTTTTTCCCCCATACAGTTGTGTTTTGGGATCAGTTTTATGTGAAATAAAACGATGTACTGAACAGCAGCATCAAGTGATGAGAATAATGGAGAAGAGCAGAAACGAAGGAGACCATCATCATCAACGGAGCAGCCCGAGAAGATCGAGTGGAGATCAAGAAGAAAAGTTTAGGGTTGGGATAGTGGATTTGAGTGGGATGTCGTTGGATTCCCTTCCGATTTCCTCTCTCAATTTGTCTAATGTTTCCAAGTTAGACCTCTCCATTAACAATCTCCAGGTTTTTCTTTCTTTCTTCGTAAATCCATAAGTTTCTTTATTTTTTTTTCAGTTTTATTGATCTGTAACCTGAATAGCGATAGACCAATAGTTTAAATTCTCATATAATTTAAATATTTTGTTTGTATAAACGTAAAATATTGTGTACGAAAATGGCAAGTTTGAAAGTACAGTTGTGAATTAATTAGTTGATTTGGCGTTAGCTTAATATGATTTGATATGACAGAGCATACCAGAGTCGTTAACGGCGAGGTTGCTGAACGTGGTGGCCATGGACCTGCACTCTAATCAGCTCAAGTCTCTCCCCAACTCCATCGGTTGTCTCTCTAAGCTCAAGTTTCTCAACGTCTCCGGCAACCTTCTCCAGACACTCCCGAAAACGATCGGAAACTGCAAGTCATTAGAAGAGTTGAATGCTAATTTCAACCAGCTCACAATGCTACCAGAGACCATCGGATTCGAGCTCACCTACTTGAAGAAACTGTCAGTGAACTCGAACAAGTTGATTCTCCTTCCTCGGTCGATCACTCATTTGACATCGCTACGAGTCCTCGAAGCACGCCTCTGTTGAAAAGTCTTGGCAAGCACCGAAATGTGCTAATAAAAAAATTTCACCGAAAAAAATTGTCAAAAAGGTTGGGTTTTTGTTGAATTTTGGACAATGGTAAAATCATAATTTTAGCCATTGTAATTTAGGGTATTTACAAATTAGTCCTTAGAGCTTCAACTATAAATACCCTAGCTCATTTAGCTTCAAAATCATCCCAAAGCATTCTAGCTTTCTTCCAATACTAGAGAGAATATTAGAGAGTTTCTTGAGAGTTGTTTTCTCCTTTTTATCAAGAGAGAATTATCATTGTTTTCTCCTTGGTCGATCGAGAGAAGTTGTAATTCCTATTTTCTCATAGTGAAATTCTTCTAACGTTGCCCGTGGTTTTTACCCTATATTATTTAGGGGTTTTCCACGTAAATTTTGTGTCTTATTTATCTTCATTTTTATTTTCTCAAATTATCAGTTGTGATTTTACTCTATCCGATAGCCGTCTTCCGCAATAATTGGTATCAGAGCCAGATTTGAGTGTGTAATATCTGCTTATTGTCTTTGTGGTTGCCACCAAAAGGTGGATCCTCCAACATAAGAAAATAAGAAGGTATTACCCATTCTTTGAGGTTCTAGAGAACTATTCACGATAGTGAAATAGTGGGAGCTATCAATAATAGAAGCTATGGCAACAAAATTTGACATTGAAAAGTTCAATGGGAGAAATTTCTCATTGTAGAAATTGAAGATGAAGGCCATCCTCAGGAAAGACGGTTGTCTAGCGGCTATCAATGAAAAGCCGGTGGATTTCGCAGATGACATCAAATGGAACGAGATGGACGGGAATGGTATGGCAAACTTTCATCTAGCATTAGCAGATGAAGTACTGTCAAGCATCGAGGAGAAGAAAACAGCTAAGGAGATATGGGATCATCTCACCAAATTGTACGAGGCCACATCGCTGCACAATAAAATTTTCCTTAAGAGGAAATTGTACACTCTCCGTATGCCAGAATCTACTTCAGTGACGGAGCACTTAAATACACTGAACACCTTATTTTCTCAGCTTACATCCTTAAGGTGTAAAATAGGAGAACAAGAACGTGTTGAACTTCTACTTCAAAGTATACCGGATTCGTACGATTAACTCATCATCAACTTGACAAACAGTAATGTCACCAGTCTAGTCTTCGACGATGTTGCAGCTGCTGTTCTAAAAGAAGAAAATCGGCACAAGAACAAGGAAGACATACAAGTAAATCTGTAACAAGGAGAAGCGTTGACAATGATGAGAGGGATATCAACGGAACGTGGCCAAAGCAACAGTCACAAACATGGTAGATCGAAGTCGAGGAGCAAGAAGAATTTAAAGTGCTACAACTGTGGAAAGAAGGGTCACTTGAAGAAGGATTGTTGGAATCTAAATAAAAACTCCAATCCCCAAGGTAATACCGCAAACACTTCAGATGATGGAGATGCTCTATGCTGTGAAGCGTCAACCACCGTGGAAGGAAGAAAAAGATTTGCAGATATATGACTCTTTGATTCAGGAGCAACATATCACATGACCTCAAGAAGAGAATAGTTCCATCAATATGAACCTGTCTCAGGAGGATCTGTGTATAGTTGCAATGATCATGCCTTAGAGATCGTTGGCGTGGGGACCATCAAATTGAAGATGTATGATGGAACAATTAAAATTGTTCGAGATGTGAGACACATGAAAGGCCTGAAGAAAAATTTATTATCCTATGGATTGTTGGATAATAATGCAAGCAAGATTGAAACACAGAAAGGAATCATGAATGTGTTCCGTGGAGCGCTTGTGGTGCTGAAAGGAGAAAAGATAGCTGCAAACTTATACATGCTGAAGGGAGAGACTTTGCTAGAAGCAGAAGCCTCTGTTGCCTCATGTAGTTCAGATTCTTCAATGCTATGGCATCAGAAACTTGGACACATGTCAGAACAAGGAATGAAAGTTCTTGTGGAGGAAAAGCTACTTCCAGGCTTAACAAAGGTATCACTTACTTTGTGTGAGCATTGCATAACAAGTAAGCAGCACCGGTTAAAATTCAACACGTCAAATTCTAGAGGCAAAAATGTTCTAGAATTGGTTCATTCTGACGTATGGCAAGCACCAGTTACATCCCTAGGCGAAGCAAAATACTTTGTCTCATTTATTGATGACTACTCCAGGAGATGTTGGGTGTACCCTATTAAGAAGAAGTCAGATGTGTTTTTAACTTTCAAAAAACTTCAAAGCGCTGGTGGAACTTGATTCTGGAAATAAAATCAAGTGTTTCATAATAGATAATGGAGGAGAATACACAAGTGAAGAATTTGATGACTTTTGCAGGAAAGAAGGCATCAAAAGACAGTTCACAGTGGCGAACACTCCTCAACAAAATGGAGTGGCAGAGCGGATGAATAGAACCTTGTTAGAAAGAACAAGAGCAATGTTGAGGGATGCAGGCCTAGAAAAATCATTCTGGGTAGAAGCAGTCAATACCGCCTGTTATTTGGTGAATCGAGCTCCATCAACTGCAATAGAGCTGAAGACACCAATGGAGATGTGGACTGGTAAACCAGCTGATTATTCAAACCTCCATTTATTTGGAAGTATAGTGTACGTGATATACAACTCCCAAGAAATTTCAAAGTTGGATCCAAAATCCAGAAAATGCAAATTCTTGGGGTATGCTGATGGAGTAAAGGGGTATCGCTTGTGGGATCCCACTTCCCGTAAAGTGATCATTAGCAGGGATGTTATCTTTGTAGAATATAAGCTACAAAGAAAAGAAGAAGATGGTAGCGCTGAAAAGTCAGAGACTACGCAGATACATGTGGAAAAAGAGTTTGAACAAGAAGATTCTTCTGAAGCAGAACCAACACATGATGAACAAGAACCAGAGAGTTCTGAAGTTCCAACAACTCGTCAATCAGATCGTGTGAGAAGACGTCCCAATTGGCACTCAGATTATGTTATAGAAGGTAATATTGCATACTGCCTTTTAACAGAGGACGGTGAGCCATCAACATACCAGGAGGCAATAAACAGCTCAGATGCTTCACTGTGAATGATGGCGATACAAGAAGAAATTGAAGCCCTTCATAAGAATAATACATGGGACCTTGTGCCACTACCATAAGGAAGGAAGGCAATTGGTAACAAATGGGTCTTCAAAATCAAGCGAAATGGTGACGATCAAGTAGAGAGGTATCGTGCAAGACTGGTGGTCAAAGGATATGCTCAAAAAAAAAGGTTTTGAAGAAAAAGAAAAGAAGAACTTGGTTTGCAAGTTGAACAAATCTCTGTACGGTCTAAAGCAGGCGCCGAGGTATTGGTATAAGAGATTTGATTCCTTCATTATGTGCCTTGGATACAACAGACTTAACGCAGACCCTTGTGCTTATTTCAAGAGGTCTGGTGATAACGATTTTGTTATATTGCTGTTGTATGTAGATGACATGTTGGTTGCAGGACCCAACAAAGATTATATTTAAGAATTGAAGGCACAACTGGCTAGGGAATTTGAAATGAAGGACTTGGGATCAGCAAACAAGATTCTAGGGATGCAAATTAACCGAGACAGAAGTAATATGAAGATTTGGCTTTCACAAAAGAATTACTTGAAGAAGATCTTGTCACGATTCATCATGAAAGATTGTAAGCCAATTTCTACCCCTCTTCCTATTAACTTCAAATTATCCTCCAGTATGAGTCCTAGCAGTGAAGAAGAGATGATGGAGATGTCTCGAGTACCGTATACATCAGTAATGGGAAGTTTAATGTTCGCTATGATATGCACAAGACCAGACATTGCACAAGCAGTGGGAGTGGTTAGTCGGTACATGGCGAATCCAGGCATAGAGCATTGGAATACAATAAAGAGGATCCTGAGATACATCAAATGGACCTCAAATGTTGCATTATGTTACGGAGGATCAAATTTACTAATCAATGGGTATGTAGATTCTGACTATGCAGGGGATTTGGATAAAAGCAAATCTACTACAGGGTATGTGTTCAAAGTTGCTGGTGGAACTGTAAGCTGGGTTTCTAAGTTGCAATCAGTTGTGGCTACATCCACAAAAGAGGCAGAATATGTAGCAGCTGCACAAGCCAATAAAGAAGCAATTTGGTTGAAGTTGTTGTTGGAGGAGCTTGGGCATAATCAAGAGTATGTCTCTCTATTTTGTGATAGTCAAAGCGCCTTGCATCTAGCAAGGAATCCAACATTTCATTCAAGGACAAAATACATACGAGTTCAGTACCACTTCATTCGTGAAAAGGTGGAAGAAGGAACGGTAGACATACAGAAGATCCATACCAAAGACAACATAGCAGATTTCATGACGAAGGTAATCAATGCTGATAAATTTACCTGGTGTCGATCCTCCTGTGGCCTGTCAAAAACGTAAGCAACATGAAGATACAAGGTAGAAAGAATGGTGTGAAGATATGATTGTTCCAATCAAATCTTCAAGTGGGAGATTGTTGAAAAGTCTTGGCAAGCACCGAAAGGTGCTAATAAAAAAATTCCACCGAAAAAATTTGTCAAAAAGGTTGGGTTTTTGTTGAATTTTGGACAATGGTAAAATCATAATTTTAGCCATTGTAATTTAGGGTATTTACAAATTAGTCCTTAGAGCTTCAACTATAAATACCCTAGCTCATTTAGCTTCAAAATCATCCCAAAGCATTCTAGCTTTCTTCCAATACTAGAGAGAATATTAGAGAGTTTCTTGAGAGTTGTTTTCTCCTTTTTATCAAGAGAGAATTATCATTGTTTTCTCCTTGGTCGATCGAGAGAAGTTGTAATTCCTATTTTCTCATAGTGAAATTCTTCTACCGTTGCCCGTGGTTTTTACCCTATATTATTTAGGGGTTTTCCACGTAAATTTTGTGTCTTCTTTATCTTCATTTTTATTTTCTCAAATTATCAGTTGCGATTTTGCTCTATCCGATAGCCGTCTCCGATCACTCCCTGATGACATGGAGAATCTGATCAACTTAGAAGTTCTGAAGGTGAGCCAAAACTTTCAGTACCTCGATACCCTACCTTACTCCATTGGTCTCTCGATGTCCCTTGTCGAATTGGATATCAGCTATAACAAAATAAAGTATCTGCCCGATTCCATCGGGTGCTTGAGGAAGCTCCAGAAGCTTAGAGTGGAAGGGAACCCACTGGTTTCGCCACCGATGGATGTGTTCGAGCAGAGCTTACAGGTGGTTAAGGAGTACCTGTGTGACAAAATGAAAGCAGGGCAAAGCCCGCAGAAGAAGAGATCATGGATATTGAGGAAGTTGGTGAAGTATGCGAGCTTTAATGGGAAAATGATGAGCAGTGCTGGTGGTGGCCGTCGGTCCTGGGAGAAAGAAGGGTCCATCATGGTGGAATATAGGTCTATCGACGGTCTCGCTGCACCTCGCTGCATGGGAATCTCGTCACCCGGTCGACTCTTTTCGACTCACAACATGGGGATGTTGTCACCTCGTCGACTATTTCCATCTTGTACTTATAAATAATAATTATATTCAACATATTAATAATATATAGTTTTATAATAAGATATTTGATTAAATTATTTTTAATGATGAATCATTATATATATGATCATATATTGTAATTAATGCATTGAATATTCACCCATATAAATAAAGATAATACTATAGTGTACGTTGTAGAGTGATGTTGACGTGAATGTGAAGATAGTTGAAAAATTCTGCGTGAGAATGTGGATTTAAGTTTAGCTTTGAGTTTGGGTGTTTTGTTTTGGGTCCGTACATTAATGTGTAATGTACTCTTTTTGCAACCTTATTATAAAAAACTTCAGCCTTCCGCTTGCGTTCTTTAATCATATCTAATATTTACTTTTTTATTTTATCTTAATATACAATCATTGAAATTTTAGTGAAATTATTACAACATAACATTTTTTATGGGTAAATTATATCATTCATCACTCAACTATTTTCTTACTCTTATTTTGATCACTGAAATTTATTTTTTTAAATTTAATTACTTAACTTTCAAATTACTCCTAATTTTAATCACTCTAACTTTCAAATTATTTTATTTTAAAAATATATTAATAAAATAATAATAAAAATTTATGTCACAAAAATATTGATAAAATAAAATAGAGTGATTAAAACATAAGCAATTTGAAAGTTGAGTAGTTAAATTGAATATTTTTAAAATTTAGTGACAAAAATAGGAGTAAGAACATAGTTAAGTAATAAATGATATAATTTACCCATAAAAAATGCCACGTGTAGCAGTTTCGTTAAGTTTTTAGCGGCGGGTACTAAAATGAAATAAAAAGTAAACATTAGATATGAATTTGAAACAAATAAAAGTTTAGGTACTAAAACATAAAAATTAATAATTTAGGTACTAAAAGTATAATTTACTCAAAAAAATCATTATTTAACACGTGTCATTTTTATAAAAACATTCATTATTTGACATGTTTCGTATTTAAGAAGTCGTTTGATTTTTCCTATACAACAATAATTGTAATGAGTATATGCATCTTCCTCCTTCTCCCCTAGTATGTTTATTAGGATCGAAACTCGTATACAAGCCGTTTTCTACTTGTAATAACTTGTTAGATATGAATGTTAACAAGTAACGATTCTATCAAATGTTATCTTATAATTCTTCTTCGGCATTTGATGGTTACTAAATGAAAAGTAAAGTTAGATTTAATGAGATTTTAATAGAGACGCTGAGACTCTATTTTCATTTTCATCTTCATCAGTGCAGTCAATATAGAACACGAAACATGTGTGATGCGATGATTGAAGATTTATGCCCAAACTATCAATCAAGAGGAACACGAGGGCTCCAGAATGCGTTGAATAAGTTCCTTTTACGTCTGCTTTGTTCATGATGCTGGGAAGGAGCAACGAGAAGAAGAATGAAGATAAATAATTATTTAAAAAAATTAAAACTTTTATTAAAAGTGAGTTAAAAGACTAGTCATAATCAACATAATTAAGGCGGTCAATAACTACCACATCATATTCATATCATTGAATGACTGATTTATTATTTTCCAATAACGTTAATGATTATTTTCTAACTCTTCAAATTTTAATGATGAAAAAAGAAATTTACAAAAACTTTAATGGCCATTTATATAGTTTATCTTATTTATAATGATAAAAATAGAAACAAAACATCAAAATCTGGATGAATCACTTTAGGTTCAAGTTATTTTAGATTGGACGAAGTTCGTGTTATTGTTATTTCTTATCAAATCTAATTAAATTAAATTTAAATTAATTGAGTTAAATTTTTAAATTCAGATTAAAATCGATAGATTTATTAAATATTTATTGAACACATTAATTTTTTAACTTTATTAATTTTTTTAATTTTAGTCTTATTATATGGCAACACAATTAAAAAATGCCACCTCATTAAAAAAAAAATCCAAATTCATGGTTAATATAGATGAAAAACAATTGAGGGTTAAATTGAAAAAACAAATACTAAATTAAAATTTATTTTATTCTAAAAATATATACTCCTATAATATGGCAGAATCAGTGAGATAATGCATGCATACCCATTATTTAGCCCAATAGGGTAACCTAATTTTTATTTTAGGATCTACGACAATTGCTACAGTAGAGTTGGAACTTGTCATGTCGACGTGATGAGTTTCATGAGATATTATTTTTAATGAGTCCTAGGACGTTGGTCTCGCAGACCAAATATATTTAATATATTTTTAGAGACTCATCACGCTAATTAAAAAATTATATTTTTTTGGTAATAAAAAAATATTGTTAAAAAGATAAAATATTTTTTAATGGGCAGAGGATCTAGTCTCGCCGACGTGACGAGTTCCAATGGAGGAATTTTAATTTTTTTACCCGTAAAAAATATATTAAATATATTTGAACCACGAGACGCACGTCCCATGACCCATTAAAAAAATAATATCTCATGAAATTCGTCACAACGAGTTTCATCTCTACTCTAATATTTACCGTAGATTCCAAAATAAAAATCAGGTTGTCCTATTTAGCTAAATAATTGGCCGGCTTACATTATTTCACTAATTCTACCTATAATACTAGTAATTTCTATTTTAATTTCCCCATTTCATTAGTTTCATGGTATTCAATATAGAAAAAATTTGGTCGGACAGGGGAATATATTATAAAAATATAAAAGCTTTGAGGATGCCGCCGGCTTTTATATGCTATCTCAAACCCAGCAGCGCTGCTTAGGCAAGTCAATAAAACACAGTTGGAATACTCGCTGCTCAATCAATCGGAGACGACGATGATTCTGCTGCTGAAACCCATCAGTCGAGTGTTTCTATTCCAAACCGATTTCCAGATTAATAATAATCCAAAACCAAAACCAATTTCAGTATCATGTAGTTTGAGCCACGAAGCTCAGAAATTAGTGCGTGAATTCGACCCCAAAATTCCCATTGAGCAAGCCGTCACCCCGCCTTCCTCCTGGTACACTGACCCCTCCTTTTACTCTCTTGAACTCGATCGCGTCTTCTACAAGGGTTGGCAAGCTGTTGGTTAGTATTCTTATGACATTACATTCCATGAATCTCTACATAGATCGTTGAATTTTGATTTGGGTTTTTTCTTTCATTTTTTAAGGATATACATAACAGATAGAACAACCCCATGATTTTTTCAGCGGCAGGTACAATTTTTTTATCTACAATTTCCCGGTACTACTATCTTGGTCCTTGGACTGAAGTTTTTCTTGTGTTTGTGCAGACTGGGAAATGTAGAGTTTGTGGTATGCAGGGATGATGATGGGAAAATTGCTGCTTTTCACAATGTTTGTAGACATCATGCCTCTCTTCTTGTGTCTGGAAGTGGGAAAACCTCTTGTTTTACTTGCCCTTACCATGTAAGTCTGTTTTGTATCCATATTTTTCATCTGATTTGACTTGAAAAACATCCTGATCTTTCCATGTTTTCTGCTGTTTAATTGTTTTGAACTTAGATTCTTTTGGTTTCTGCCTTGAATCCTATGTTTTCTGCAGGGATGGACGTATGGGTTAAATGGAGCACTTCGTAAGGCGACCTAGGATTTCGGGAATACAGGACTTCGCTGTAAATGTATACTGTCAAGTACTTTAGCATAAATGTTTGCCTTTTTGTTAGTTCAACTGCAAGCTTTTGTTTTCTTGTGTCATATTTTCCAGTGAATTGATAACTTGGTGGATACCTGTTGTAATTGATGATAGGAATTCGGGCTTGTACCAATACAAGTTGCTACTTGGGGACCATTTGTTCTTCTGAATATGGATAAGGAGATTGCTACCGACAGCATTGCAAGTGACTGGCTTGGTAGCTCCTCTGAAATATTCAGCCTCAATGGAGTTGATTCCCCATTAAGTTATGTTTGTCGTCGTGAGTACATCATTGAATGTAACTGGAAGGTGTGCCTCTGTAGTTAATGGAAGATCCCTCAATTTAATTTGTTTCTCTTAGCATTTTGTGATGGTTCCTAAAATAACATACGAGGTTTCCTTGTAGTTTTCATAAAGCTGCCCATTAATCCATTTGCTTAATCTTCGAGTAAGGCTTTAATTAGTGTTATCACTACCACAAAAAAAGCATTATGCTGTCTCCAATATTAAATTGTGTATTCCACATGTTAATGATTATATGATTGCAGTGCAAAGCTTGCTGAACATACATGCAGATTGCTGGCTGTCTTTTGTTCTTGTAGTGCAGGTATTCTGTGATAACTATTTGGATGGTGGTTACCATGTGCCATATGCACACAAAGGCCTCGCTTCTGGTCTTTCACTTGACTCATATACCACCTCAGTATGATTCAATCGGATCCTTTCGTAAGTTATATTTAATATATTCTTTTTCACATTGTATCACAATGTAACATTGATAATAGTTCACGAGTAGATATTCGAAAATGACCGGCTTGGATCGAAAGCATTTTATGCTTTCGTTTATCCAAATTTCATGATTAACAGGTCCTTTATGTCCATCCACACTTATCACCCGCCCATTGTCTTTGCACTCCTTCCAGTAAATTGTTTTTACGGGTATTGTAGGTATGGACCTTGGATGGACACTAATCTGGCAATCCCATTGGGACCAAGGAAATGTCTGGTAGTGTTTGACTATTTTCTTGAAGCTTCCCTTAAGGTAACTTTATTTATCATATATGTTACGAAATACTCATTGTAGTTTTACATATACCGAATACATGAGGACATAATGTTTACAATGTATAGTTCTAAGCAGGTAAATAAATTCATTTTGTAAACTATAAGATAGATACTTTGAGAATGGTAAATTACGATGCTTACTGCGATTAAAGAAAGAATAAACACATCATACAAAATGCAGAAAATTCTCATTTAAGACTTGTTTTGGGATTCTTCCAATGTTGTAAGTCAAATACATAGGACAAACGTGATTTGACATGTTTAGAAAATAATTAATAGGCTTGAAGAGCAATGCCTTTTCTTCCAAAGAAAAACATACCGCAAGAACGAAAAGGACTTTCTAAACTGAAGACAGGCCGGATGAACTGTAAATGACCTGCATAGAATAGTCTCTTAGATGTCCAACCATTAAGCCTTTCTGTAATTTATGGATTAAAGCATCACAGACATTGTGAGCAGTGAGCCTACAAGAAATTAGAGAAATTCTCCAATACTTATGGGAAACTACCAGGTTGAAAACCGATAACCTGGTGTAGCTCCTGCAGAATACAGGATTCACATTGGCAGAAAATTTTCAGACTTGGACTGGATCGATTTTCCTTGTTGAAGACTTGGGATTTGAGGCTGCTAATTTTTAGAATGACAGAAAAACCTTTCTACCGGAAATTCTTCTATCAGAAACAACATTGGGTACTTCTTTTTATTTTTCTATGGGAGCCTGCCTGTTTCTGAGACAGAATTTTGATTGCCATGTTCCAATGGAAAGGGGAGGATGAAATTGTTCCTGATATTGCTTTCATCTGTTTACGAATGAAAGGAAGGATATTGTAACATGGACGAAAACTATCATCTAATGCATGCACCATATTATTTAGGATGAGCAAAGAATAGCCTTTTGATTAACAGATTCTGAGTATCTGTCTGTATCCATTTCTATGTGCTTCTGTATGTACAATATGTACTAGGAGAATGATGAGTGCATCAACCACTCTGTTCAACTGCCCTCGGTTACACATGCATGGACATAAAGTTGTCTCCTTTCGTTATATCTGATATTTGACTTTGTATTTGTGAAACAAATAATAAATGTTTGTTTAAACCGTGAAAGATTCTGCATATCTAGCCGTGAATAATGGAAACATTGTATTCATAACGTGGTTCCTGTATAACCGAGCTCTTCTTTTGGCCTCAGGGTGACAAAGCTTTAATCGAGAGAAGTTTAAAGGATAGTGAAAAAGTTCAGGTACCAGCAAAACTAATCTCTGGTTATAGTTAAAATCATTCAACCTCCAAAAGCCTGCTTTCTGTAACAAGACAAATATGCAGATGGAAGACATTGCACTGTGTGAAGGTGTTCAAAGGGGTATCGAGTCGCCTGCGTATAACAGTGGAAGATATGCTCCGAACATCGAGAAGGCCATGCATCATTTCCATTGTTTGCTTTATGATAATCTGATAAACTAAATTCGCCTTGTATGTGAATAACACGAAAAGGATTCGAGAATTTTCTGTCATGCGTTGGTGAATGCATTTGTCAATGTGGATGATTGGTGTAGAGAAGATTCATAACTACCCCGTAGCATATCTCGTTTGTACTTGTCTCGTATTAACTAAAGCAATACTACTGCTCGAATATTCTTTCTTATTACCTGACCAAATAAGAACACTTGTATGAGGGTTTAGATAATGAAGTTTTGCATTAACAACTACTACACTATTGAGTTTTTTTTTTTGTCATCGTCACTACTTTTAATGTGAAACATGATTTCATTGAACTCATTGAAAATTGATTTAATTTGGTGTATATTGTTAAAATGTTTAGTTTTCCACCCCATTAAAAAATTCGTAAAATCAATTCTAAACATATTTTTAATAAAAGTATTATTAAACTTGGTTTTCAACTTTTAATCCGTTGAATATATATTAAAATTTATACCATTTAATTATATATATTATTTAGGTTAAAATATACTTCAAGTTCACTCACTCTTTGTATATTTGGGAATTTAAACTCTCTATTATTATTTACAGGGATTTGATCTCTGTACTTTTTGGATTTAAATTTTTTAAATTCAATTGATAATATTGTTAAAATTCTTGTGCTTATTTTTTAATGTGATTTTGAAATAAAAAATACTAAACTTGGGAACCATGTAACTAAAAAAGATAATGTTGTAATGAACTTGAATTTAACAAAATATCACATCATTATTTTCGCTAAAATTTAATAGAAGGTGATCAAAATAAAAACAATCGATAATATTAATAATATAATTAAAAAATGATAACCAAAATAATGATGTTTGCACTAAACTAATTACAGTATTTTTTTTTGATTAATCAAAAAAAATTAATTACAGTAAAAAGGAGTAAAAGGAGGGCGTATTTATCAAAAAATCACCCTTCTTTCTTTTATTTATGTGTCAGATATTGTTAGAGGAAAATTTACCGATCTAGCACTCTTTACAGAAAGACACGGATAATGATCCACGTCTTACGTTGATGTGACGCCACGTGTGGTAAAGCGCCAATGATAATCTATAGTCACCAAGATTAGACATATCCGCAAATTATGGCATATACAATGCACCATAGTCAGCTTCATACATGTATGCTGGAGGTTCAGTATGTACCACATTTGTGAGAACTTCATCTGCATCATCATCATCATCGGAGTCTATGTTGAACTGCGGTGATTCTGGGTGACGAATAGTCCAGTCTCAACACCATCCACACCTGGCTCATGAAGTGATTCTTCTGGTGGAGATGAAGGTTCCTCTACGCTGTCCACATTTAGGTCGAACAACCTGGTACTTGCATGTCTTCCTCTTGAACTTGAAGGCATCTCGACAGTGAGATTGAAGAAGCTCGCAGTAGAATGCCTCCCCCTGGAGCTTGAAGTCATCGTGTCAAATGGAAACTACACATATTGTTGCGTCGAGGGCATCTCCATATTTAGGTCAAAGAAATTGGTAGATGAATGTCTTCCCTTTGAACTAGACGCGATATTGTCATACGAATTGTTTGTAGACCCACTTCAGTACAGATCGTAAGGAGTTTCTGATGAATGTCTCCCATTGAACTTGATGGGATGACACCATGATGTGGATTTCCCATTATGACATTAAAATAATTACACATTACTGTAGTTGGGCTGTTAACTTGATCAGCTTGTTGAACCAACCCATAGTGAGAGCATAATGACATATCCCGAACAACACGCACTTCAATAAACTTTGCATACATCTACGTATCGACGTCTGAATAATGGTTTTGAGAATCAACCATCATTGCAACATCATCATCGTTCGATAATTCGATTACTGTATAATTTAACAGAAACACTGATACTGAAAATTTGTACTGAAGCAACGTCAGTCTTCTAGTACTTCCAACATGAACCTTCATTGAAATCTTCGTTATCAACTCCTCAAGAGTTATGTTTCTCTTGAAGAATATTTTAACAGAATGATTTGATGCGAACACAACGTCGATTTCATCTTCCCGAATTTGTCCATCACAGTAAACAATAACTTAAATTCGCGTTATTCTGAGAGTTTGAACGATAGATATTCTTATATCTGCAAAAAAAAAAAAGCTGAAATAAGTCTAATTAAATAAATAATATATGAATTAAAATATAATGTAATAAAATATTTAAAAATAAACATAAATAATTTAAATAATATAATTTTATATTATTACCGTATCAGTAAAAATATTTTAAAGTATGATCTCGCTTTCCAATTTTACAACCACAAAAATTAATAGAAAATAATTAGTACAATAATTTTTTCAAATAATCATATATAAAAAACATTATATATTAAAAAAATTACCTTACAACGAAGTATCAAACGAATTTGTGAAGTAAAGATAAGAGAAATTAATGGGTGATGTTTATGGGTTGAGAGGGTTTTATTTATAGGGGAGGGAAAATTTAAAAACCGAGAAATTCAGATATAATTATGTAAGTCGCGAATGGTTATCTACGTCTTTTTGGCGCGTGGTTAAATTTGCAGAAAGACACAAATGATGATCGCGTTTTACGCTGATATGACATCAACTGGGTAAGACGTAAATCATCATCAGCGTTTTATCACACGTGACGACACATTAACGTAATTCGTATTTTTCTATAAAGAGTGTTTGATCAATAATATTTTCAACTTCTAATATGTAAATAAAAAAAGTAGGGTGATTTTTCGATAAATACGCCTAAAAGGAGGGGGGTATTGAATGGTGCGGGATGATGACATGATAATGGGGTGTAATAATGAAGGTCAATGCATAAAACAATGATGTTGTCTGCGCTTTGTTCCGGGAATGGTTTAGCATATTTAATACTATGAAAATTTATAATTTATTCGATAAAATAAAAATATAAATGAAAAAAATATAAAAATAATATTATAACAATTACTTCTAATTATATTATTATAAAGAATTTATTCAACACAATCGTAATTTATATTTCACTCATCTTATAGTTTGTGTCTCATATTAATTATACATATAATTTTAGGAGATATATTTGATTAAGAAAAATAATAAAATTATTTGATTGATAGATTTAATATATGTATTTTGATAGATATACAAAAATAAGATATATAATGGTAAAAAATATAAATTTTATTATTTATTAATTTTTATAAAAAAATATTTTTAATAAAATATTTTTAAAAATTAAAAGATAATGAAATATTTAAATAAATGAACAATTAAACGAAAAACATCAGTTCACCCAATAATTATCCATTTATACACATGGAAAAGTACAGTGTACAGATAGATAGGAGGGAGAGGGATAGAGCTGGGAAAAGTAAGAAGGGAAAGAAGAAAACAAAGTTGTAGGATGGGAAATGTCTGGGGAAGAAGATTACATCAGTTTGTTCTTTCACAAACTTAACCAAATTGTACATATTCCTCCAAACTTCAAAACCCATTCTTTTTCTTTCCCTTTTTTTAATTACTGTTTGCCGTCTCCGTTTCCTCGTCGTTTGTTTTCCCGGTGCCGGCCACTTTCTCTCCCTTCTTTTTCGACCCCTCGCCGGATTCCGTTTCCTGGAATTTTATTTCCTTTCCCCGGGAAATTGGGATTTTGCCTTTACTTTGACTACTGTTTGAATATTGCTAAATGAGCTGATCTGAGCTATCCAGCACGCTTTCGAGTAGTGTAATTGCTTTGTCCTTTTCAAGCTAATCAGATATGAACAGATCAAAAGTTTAGCTTTTATTTTAATTTGTCTGATAGTTCAAGGGAAAAAAAGCAATGAAAGCGCCGGCCGCCGGAGCTGGATCTACACCGAACGCTGCAGCTTCCAATCCGGGTGAAGGTCTGCTCTTTCTCTTTTGATTTACTCCTTTTTTTTTCTTTCGATTTTATCACTTAGATTATCCTATAACAGGTCTGATTTTTCTTGTCTCTCTCAATCAATCTCTACTTTAAAAGCTCTAAGCTTTGTTTATTTATGTTTTTTCTTTTCCGTTGCACTAGAATCTCTAGCTAGATACATAAAGTTTATTCTTTTCCTTCTTTTTATTTTATTGTTAGATTTTTTTCATTTTATTTTATTGTTAGATTTTTTTCTTCTTTTTTTCCCCTGGAAAAGAGTGAATTGACTTGATGGTTGCTTGAGCGGTGATACAGGTGTTTCGCCGGAGAAGAAGAGCATCAACCCGGAGCTATGGCAGGCGTGTGCCGGGCCGCTGGTGAACCTTCCGGCTGCCGGGACCCACGTTGTCTACTTCCCTCAAGGACACAGCGAACAGGTGAACTAAATTGACAACTCTTGTTGACATTTACTATAGATTCTTTTGTTTCTGCTGAGAATGAATTTTTATAATAAATTGGTTTGATCTAAGTGTTTTTGGGTTTTATTAATTGTTTGTATTTGATGCGGTAGGAATGCATAATTTATTTATCAATGAATTAAATGATGTTACCTCCTCGATAATTACATGTATGATTTCCCATGAAAACAAAGGTTGTTCAATTCAGACATTTTGCCATGGTAAGGTCACTTGATTCGGATATATTTACATCGTGATAGATTTCATCTTCTATCTTGGTTAAATGTGTTCTGACTTGAACAAAATTTCTGATCTCAGGTAGCAGCCTCAATGAAGAAAGATGTGGATGCTCAAGTTCCGAACTACCCGAATCTTCCCTCTAAGCTATTATGCCTCCTTCACAATGTCACCTTGCATGTACTACTACCCAACTCTTCCTGTCTCTTGCTCCTTGCCTTTAGGAATGTCGATTACTTTAATTTATTTGTGCTTTCAAATCCATTTTTCTCAACTCTCTCTTGTTTGACTTTGCAGGCAGATCCAGAGACAGACGAAGTCTATGCTCAGATGACCCTCCAACCGGTTTCTTCTGTAAAGAGATTATCCCATATGTCTAGAAGAATCTTATACCATGTTTTATAGAGTTTTGAATATGTAAGTGGAGATTAGAACTGAACCTACTGACATCTTTTGCAGTTTGATAAGGAGGCATTACTGAGATCAGATCTTTCTCTTAAGTCAAATAAGCCAATACCAGAATTCTTCCGTAAGACATTGACAGCAAGTGATACGAGCACTCATGGAGGTTTTTCTGTTCCTCGCCGTGCTGCCGAAAAAATCTTCCCTCCTCTTGTAGGCAGTTTTGTGTTACCTAGAAGGTTGGTTGTTTTAACTTCAGATGTTAATCCCTTTCATCATTCTTTTGACAGGATTTCTCAATGCAACCACCTGCACAAGAACTTGTGGCCAGGGATCTGCATGAAAATGTCTGGAACTTCCGCCATATCTATCGCGGTATGGTCATACTGTGTCCTTGAACTTTCGCTTGTTGGATTTATGGATTGCCATTACAACATTACTAGAAATTGGTTTGCTTGCTCTTTATGCACTTCATGTATTTAATTCCAACATCTGGTCTTTAATTTCAGGACAACCAAAGCGCCACTTGCTTACCACGGGATGGAGTCTATTTGTTAATGGAAAGAGACTCTTAGCTGGTGATTCAGTTTTATTCATTAGGTAATGGTAATGATTCTGCTTGAAGTATGTATTTTTGATTACTGATTTCTCAATGTTTCATGTCTCTTTGTTTACAGAAGCGTTGTCATGTCGCATAACTTTTATTGTTTTACTAGTCTCTTCTGTAGAGAGAAAAAAAGGCAATTTTATCACTCTTGTCTTCAAAATTTCTGAGCAGAGATGAAAGGCAGCAGCTTCTCTTGGGCACAAGACGTGCTAACAGGCAACCCACCAATTTATCCTCATCAGTATTGTCAAGTGATAGCATGCATATCGGCATCCTCGCTGCAGCTGCTCATGCTGCAGCAAACAATAGCCCCTTTACCGTGTTCTATAATCCAAGGTCCAAAGGATAACTTTCTGACTTTTAAATTAAGTTCAGCCACGTTAAAACCGTAGATTAGTATATGCTATTAAGGAGACTTTCTTTCCCTGTAAGTATTCATTCCAAAATATTCTTTGTTTCTCAGGGCTAGCCCTTCCGAATTTGTTATTCCGTTAGCCCAGTATTACAAAGCTGTCTACAACAATCAAATAACACCTGGCATGCGCTTTCGGATGATGTTTGAAACTGAAGAGTCAGGAGCAAGAAGGTAGCTTTATGTCAAGTCTTCTGTCGGTTTTTGATAATTGATTAATATCTCCAGATTAGTGATATTTGATGATTGCTTTCTTGGACCAGAAAATTTTGATTTGGCTATTTGTGAAAAAAATGTTGGAAATAAAGTACTTTTTCCCCTTCAGGTATATGGGCACAATTACTGGAATCAGTGATATTGATCCTGTAAGATGGAAAAACTCACAATGGCGCAATTTGCAGGTAAGTTTAACTATTCTTAGTTTATATTTTCATTATATTTATTATAGCAAGATGAGGCTTTTCTTGTTTAACTAGATCATTTTCTTCTATAGGTTGGTTGGGATGAGTCAACTGCCGGGGAAAGACGTAGTCGAGTCTCCATTTGGGAAATTGAACCAGTTATAGCTCCATTTTTCATCTGTCCACCTCCATTCTTCAGATCAAAGCGTCCTAGACAACCCGGAATGCCAGGTAGCAGATCCTGTACCCTCTAAATTATTGCATAATCAGTATCAATTTGGTGCAAGAACGTTTATTAGATGCCGTTTTTTTCTTTGTGGCACTTGACCTTATGTAGAGTAGCAATGAGTAAGCGTAAATTGCACCTGCTGATTCCGGTTCTGCAATGAGTGGTGTAAATGATGTGGGGCCGTATTTAGGGATATATTCCCTCTTTTTCCTATGTTGATTGATCTTTTTGCTTTTAATCTACTTGGTCTATTAAATATCAGACTCTCTCCATGTGCCTTGTTGATGCTTGAATTCTTCAACACTTTTTAATCCTTCATGTATTGACATGGTTTGGCCGCATACCTTGCCTGAGAATTTTGCAGATGATGGATACTCCGACTTGGATAATATATTCAAGAGGCCAATGCCTTGGCTGGGAAATGATATAAGCATGAAGGATTCGCATTCGGTTCCAGGGCTTAGCCTGGTCCAATGGATGAACATGCAGCAAAATCCTGTGCTTCCAAACTCAATGCAGCCAAATTTCATGCAGTCTTTGGTTGGGTCCAGTATGCAAAACTTTGATGCAGCAGATCTTTCACACCAAATGGGTCTGTCGACACCACAAATGCCTCAGCCAAACAACTTGCAGTTCAATGCTAATAGGCTATCTCAGCAAGTGCAGCAACTTGATCAGCTTCCGAAGCTATCATCTACAATGAACTCGTTGGGATCCATTATGCAGCCACAACAGCTGAATGACATGACTCAGCAGTTGAGGCAAAATTTGATTGCTCAGGCTCTACCATCTAGTCAAGTTCAGGCTCAAATTCTTCAGCCTCAAGCACGTCCCCAAAGTAACAATATCCTTCAGCAGCAGCAAACTTCTAATCAAACGCCTCAACTCCCTCAAAATCTTCCTCAAAACCTGCAGCAGCAGCAGCAGCAACAACAGCATATGGTCCCAAGTCAACCACAAAACCTAATGCATTCCCCGCTGCCTGATCCAGTTAACCAACATTTACAAGTGCCTGACAACCAGGTTCAGTTTCAGCTGTTGCAGAAGCTTCAGCAGCAGCAACAGTTGCTTTTGGCACAACAATCTGCACTTCAGCAGCCTGATCAACTTGCCCAACCCCAAGATCAACAAAGGCAGCTGTTAGATGCGTCTCAGACCTTCTCTAGGTCTGTGACAGCTAGTCAAGTGTTAGAGATGCCTCAAAAGTCACCCACCTTGCTACGTCAATCTAATGTTGCCCCACAACAGATAGCTAAAAGTAACAGCCAGGCGAATGTTCAGTTCTCTCAGTCACCTCTGCAGTCAAAGCTTCAGCAACAACAACCTGGAGTGTTGCCTGAAGTGCCTGGCCATGTAGATCCCTTCCTGACCACCGCGACAAATCAGCTGTCCAATGCTGTTAGCAGTGTAATGACATGTGCTGCTGTAGCTGCACATTCTGCGATTACTGATGATAATCCATCGTGTTCCACTTCACCATCTACAAACTGTCCAAGTGTTCTTCAACCAATGATAAACTGCGGTGTCCACAAGAGTATTGGATTAGAGGACATCATCACTCAGTCTGCTGCTACGGTCTTGAATCCTAATCTGTTGGAGACCATGTCACCTAATGCTAATATAGTTAAAGAACTTCAGCAGAAGTCTGATTTTAAACCCTTATTGAATATCTCCAAGAGTCAAAACCAAGGCCTTTATACCCCACAAAACCTTATCAATGGTGCTACTGCACATGCAGATTACCTGGACACATCATCTTCTACGACTTCAGTTTGCCTTTCTCAGAATGATGTTCATTTGCAGCAAAACTCATTGACTTACAACCCTCAGACAATGTTGTTGGGAGACACATGTCAAGACAGAAAAGTTCAGGCAGATCCGAGAAACAGTGTTTCATATGGAAACAATATGGATACCCAGATTGGGATACCCATGAATTCTGACCCGTTGCTGACGAAAGGCATGATGGGGCTGGGGAAGGGTTTTTCAAATAACCACTCTTCAGGAGGAATGCTTGCCAGCTATGAGAACCCTCAAGATTCTCGGCAAGAACTTTCATCGTCAATAGTTTCGCAGTCATTCGGAGAGCCAGATATGACTTTTAATACCATTGATTCCACTATAAACCATAACAGCTTCACAAGCCGTGGTGCATGGACCCCGCCATCACAATTTCAGAGAATGCGGACGTTTACTAAGGTTCGTTGTTCTAAACTTCAGTCACATCGAGTCAATCTCTCTTCTTGTTGCACACATCCTTGACCACATGCACACATCACAAATCCTTATTAACATATTTACCTTTTCTAGGTTTACAAACGCGGGGCTGTCGGAAGATCGATAGATATAACTCGTTATTCAGGTTATGATGAGCTCAAACAAGACTTGGTTCGTAGGTTTGGCATCGAGGGTCAGCTGGAAGACCGAGGGAGAATAGGCTGGAAGCTAGTCTACGTGGATCACGAGAATGATGTTCTGCTAGTAGGAGATGACCCTTGGGAGTAAGCCCTGTTGCTCTTTTTACTCATAAATTCAGCTCTTCCCAAATATTCTTTACGTTGTTTGCCCCATGAAAATGACAATGTCTTTTTCCTGACAGTTTTGTTTTCTTCATCTGTTTCATTTCAGGGAGTTCGTCAACTGTGTCCGAAGCATCAAAATCCTCTCCCCTCAGGAAGTCCAGCAGATGAGTGTGGAGGGAGATTTTGGAAACTCTGTCCTCCCTAATAAAGCCTGTAGCAGCTCTGACAACGGAAATGCATAAACTAGTATATGGCAACAAGCTAACGACTGATTATTGGTTCGGAGCTCATACGGTTTGTACAACAGGATTCGGTTGATTGCTTTCGATATGGTATATATATTCCACATATCCTTGAGCAGTAAATAGCGTTCACTTCCAAATTTTGGCTGAAGTTAAGGCCGGAAAAGAAGAGACGATCAATCATAGCAGCAGGAAAAGTGTAAGAATCCAGCTTGAGCTTCAGTATGATTGTGTAAGAAATTGATATTCCATTTTCCTTTTTATCAACTTTGAATTGACATTAAACCAACTTAGGATGATTCAGTTGGTTCAGTATTCATTAGTATGTACTTGGTAAGAATTGAGGTTCGAGTCTTGGAGCAATCCCATTTGGCCTATCAAAATCTTTGAAATGACATTTGATAGTTTTCCTCAGGTGTACTTGTACAAACGATAATTTGTAAATTTTAGTATCTAAACTTTAAAACTTAATAATTGAATTTTTAAAATGGTGACGTTGAAATCAAATTCATGTACCTAATTGAATAAAAATTAAACATAAAGTTGAATTTTAATATAATATTAGGTTCCATATTATGTATACATCCTAGAGTAAACATGGAATGTTTTGAGAAATTAGTATACGGTTAATTAAACGGGTCGTGCCTGTACATATATCGGTTTTCACCATAACAGAGAGAATACACCACCCGCTCCAACAGCCTTTCTTAACCTTACAGCAGCATGGCCAACACCCTATTTAACATTCCAAATTCCATACATCCCACATCTCATCATGCCTCCAAAACCAAATTACAACTCCTTCTGACATGGCAAACGCCATCCCAACAGCTGCAATTGCCGTTGCAGATACCACAGTCATGGCCTTTCACCGTCAACTCGTAATCCCACCTTTTATCCTACTGATTTTTTCCATGGTTTCCATTTCCTATGCATTGTTGGATCACGAAATCCTTCTCGAGTTTAAATCCTCGTTGACAAACCATACTGATTTGAAGAACTGGCGAAACGATTCCAAACCTGTATGCAACGGCAAACATGCCAACTGGATTGGCGTCTTTTGTGAAAACGACACCTTCTGGGGTTTGAAACTCGAGAACATGGGACTATCAGGCACCATTGACACCAACGCCTTGTCCAAATTGAGAACCTTAGTAAGATGAATGCAGACATGTTTGCAGGTGAATAAAATTTGACTCGACTTAATTGTTCTTCGATTTTACGACTCAAATGAAGTCTAAATATGTGATTATATATGCAAATGCAGGCAATAAAGGTGTTTTTGGAGCACCATTGAAGGTATGTGTATCAACCCATGCTAGTCCAAACCATAACGTTGCTCCCAATTTCAAGAAGACAATGCCATTATGGGTATTGTGATCCATACGATAGTTGGGGTCCTTATACTACTAGCCTTAGTTGTACTCATCATAAGCAGTCTTCGAAAAAACCAGCAACCAGCTCCAAAAATGGAGGGTTCACCTTCCCCGCCATCATACCACAAAACAAAAACAGGTCTACAGTTAGAAAACCGTGCTTCTGCTGCCTTGTTGCAGCGCTCGAGCAGCGGAAAGAAAGCTGCGGAGGCTGCTCCGAAGCTCATTTTCTTGAGAGATGATGATGGAGAAAAGTTTGATTTACCGGACTTAATGAAAGCTCCAGCTGAGATATTGGGAAGCGGGTGTTTCGGTTCATCATACAAGACTGCTCTACCAAATGAGACTGCCATGGTGGTGAAGAGGTATAAACAGATGAACAGCGCTGGGAAAGAAGATTTCCAATAGCATATGAGGAGGATTGGGTGACTGAAACATAACAACGTGCTTGATCTCGTCGCTTATTATTATAGGAGTGACGAGAAGCTTCTTGTCTGTGATTTCGCTGAAAATGGCAGCTTGGCTGTTCATATTCATGGTTCGTCTGCAATTTATTCAGTTTCTTGACTAATAAGTCATGTTCAAATATAGTGTTTTTTACTATGTTTTTATTCCTGCAGCTCATCAAACTTTGGGGCAACCAGCCCTTGATTGACCAACTCGATTGAAGATTGTGAAAGGAGTAGCCAAGGGCCTAGCATACCTATACAAGGAGTTACCTAGTTTGGTCGTACCACACGGTCACCTCAAATCCTCAAACGTTCTCCTCAGTGAATCTTTCGAACCCCTCCTCACCGATTACGCTCTGATCCCGATTGTTAACCCGGAGAGTGCTCAAGTGTTCATGGTGGCCTATAAATCATCCGAATACATCCAACATGGTCGAGTCACAAAGAAGACCGACGTATGGGGTCTCGGTGTACTAATCCTAGAGATTTTGACCGGGAGGTTCCCCTCGAACTTCTTGCTAAAGGGAAAAGGAAGTAATGAAGACGACATAGCAACGTGGGTGAAATCGAAAGTCGGGTGACAACGTTGAAGAAACACTGTCAACGAACATGGAGGTGTTCGACAAAGAGATGGGAGCCATAAGTTACCGAGATGAAAAATCGATGCTGCGGCTGTTGAAGATCGGGTTGAGTTGCTGTGAAGGTGATGTGCAGAAGAGATTGGATTTAAAAGAAGCTGTGGAGAGAATTGAAAGATTGAAGCCCCTCAACGCTAGTAGAGACGATGAATTCTTCTCGGCAATGGCCAGTGACAGTGAGGAAGACATGAAGTGGTGATGTCCCATGAATATTGCTAATGCATGATGTCTTATTTTGAGTGGGATTTTGTTGAAATCTTAGAGATTTGACGTTCACTTGAACCTTGCGAAAATCTTTCTGGCTCCGAGGCTTGAATACGATCTCGAAATAATGACAAGACGAGCGACAGATGAAAGTCCAAGATGAAGGAGCGACAGATAAGATGACTCTTTCATCTCATCTCCCTCCTTATACTCTTGAACATAATGATTATTATACACGCTGATATCGACATACTGTGAAAATCGATCTCTTCCTTCTTTCCCATATGTTCATGTATCTATCCTATTGGTGTTTTGCCTTCTCCACAGCTATTTGTCGTATAAAATACTGTGTCATCAACAATTCGTCATCATCATTAATAAGATTGACTCGCTTCACCGTCAACCATCTTGTAGGGTCTTTATTTCTATTATCTAGTGGTTGTATTTGACTAAACATCTATTACGTAGTAACAAATTCTGTTGTGTACAAACATGTTGGTTGTCATTGATGAAATGAGCAATGAATAATATTTCACATCCTTCTTATTTCTTCTTCTCTATAAAGGGTTGACGACGAATTTACGAGAGCTATAAGGTGCAATAGTACCAAGTAAGTTAGTCTAACGTGTCATAATAATATTCAGTTACTGGAATAACGTGTGTTAATAATAATTGATCGATTTACTAGTAAACGATAACATTAATAATTATTTTATTATTAATTTTCAATATTTATTATTGAGTTATGAACTCAAAAAATATTGTTAAATATAGATATATCAAAGATGAAAAACACAAAAGTATTAATTAAAATGGAAAAAATGCAATTAAAGTAAATTAGGTATACTTTCAATATTTGGAAGTCTTGGACCGTTAAATTTAGGGACATGCATAAGATTTTATGTTAAGGGGCGAACTTATAAAATTTCGGGAGGGGATAAATTTATAAAATTTCAAGGAATGAAAATAGATTTCCAATAAAAAAATACTTAAAAAAAATCTAAAATATATGATAATATTAAAATTTTAATGGGACGACTAATTAAGTATATTTCCACCTAAATATTAAAAATGTAGTTGTATAAAATATTTGTTAAAAAATATTTTTAATTTAATAAATTTATTTAAATCATTAAACGAATCATCAAAGATATTCTAATTCATAAAAAAAACCATGAAAACAATAGAGTACATAAATACAGATTTTATATATATATTTGGCAGTTGTAAGTTTTCGCATGAAATAAATATAATCAAAATTTGTCGATTGCACCAACAGCTTTTCTTTACCTTAACAGCATGCCCAACGCCCTATTTAAATTTCTAAATTCCATGCATCCCACATCTCATCTTCTTTCGGAAACCAAGTTACAACTCCCTCTGCCTCTCCTGACACGGCGGAACGCCACCCCACAACAGCTGCAATCGCAGCCACAGCCATGGCCTTTCCCCGTCGACTCGTAATACCACCTTTTATCCTACTGCTTTTTTCCATGGTTTCCATTTCTTACGCATTGTCGGACTCTGAAATCCTTCTCAAGTTCAAATCCTCGTTGATGAACAACACTGCTTTGAAGAGCTGGCGAAACATTTCCAAACCTGTATGTGACGGCAAACATTCCAGCTGGATCGGCGTCTTTTGTGAAAACGGCACCGTCTGGGGTTTGAAACTCGAGAACATGGGACTATCGGGCACCATTGATGCCGACAACTTGTTCGCCTTGTCCAAATTGAGAACCTTAAGCTTTATGCACAATAATTTTAATGGTCCGATCCCCGAGTTCAACAATCTTACTAAGTTGAGATCCCTTTATTTATCCTACAATCGGTTTTCTGGACATATTCCTAACAATGCATTCCAAGGAATGGTTCGGCTCACCAAGCTGTATCTATCGAAAAACCGGTTTACCGGTTGGATTCCGGCATCGGTCACCACCCTGCCCAAGCTTTTGGAGCTTAAACTCGATGGCAACTGGTTTTCCGGGGGAATACCGGACTTTAAGCAGAAAGGGTTGCATGTAGTTGATCTCTCCAATAATCAAATGGAGGCCCTATACCAGCAAGCCTTAGTAAGATGAATGTAGACATGTTTGAAGGTGAATAAAATTCGACTCAACTCAACTCGATTTTTTTCTCGATTTTACGACTTGAATTAAGTCTAAATGTGTGATTATATATGCAAATATTTCAGGCAATAAAGGTGTTTGTGGAGCACCATTGAAGGCATGTGTATCAACCCATGCCAGTCCAAACCATAACGTTGCTCCCAATTTCAAGAAGACGATGTCATTATGGGTTATTGTGATCCATATGATAGTTGGGGTCCTTATACAGCTAGCCTTAATTGTACTCATCATAATCAGTCCCCAAAAGGCAGCAACCAGCTCCAAAAATGGAGGGTTCGCCTTCACCACCATCGTATCGCAAAACGAAAACAGGTCTGAAGGCTTAAAACCGTGCTTCTTCTGTCTTGTCACCACGTTCGAGAAGCGGAAAAAAGGCCGCGGAGGCTGCTCCAAAGCTTACTTTCTTGAGAGATGATGATGGAGAAAAGTTCGATTTGCCGGAGTTGCTGAAAGCCTCGGCTGAGATATTGGGAAGCGGGTGTTTCGGTTCATCTTACAAGACTGCTCTACCAAATGGGACTGCCATGGTGGTGAAGAGGTATAAACAAATGAACAGCGCTGGAAAAGAAGATTTCCAAGAGCATATGAGGAGGATTGGGAGACTGAGACATAACAACGTGC